ACCCTACGCACTGGCCTGACCACAGAGACCCTGCGCACTGGCCTGAAGTGGACCCGCTGTCCGTTCGGCCTGTGCACCTTGCCACTATTTTTTTTAAATCCAATCCAACTTTATTCTTTCAAATCAAGAAAAGCAGAAGAATGAAAACCTGGACAGGCCTGCAGAGGCCAAGAAACAGGCAACGCACAGTTTCCAGGAAGCCTGGCGACCCTGACAAATGCTCAAGCACAGGATCGGTTTCGGCATTCTGTACATTATAACACACGCGACTCACTCCTGCCGTTTCCCAGGGACAGGCAGTCTGGAGGTTTCCCCAAGCTCTCGATAGGAGCTTTTCATTGTTTATTTTTTTCTGGTGGGTGAAGAAGCCCTGACACGTCTCAGGCTGGTTCCCCAGCTGTATCCGACAGGGTCTCTAGGCTGTCTGGGACACGGAAGATTCACGGCTTGACTTCTTCTCCTGCACTTCCAGGGCCGGTGTCTTCCCTTTGTGTCTTTCGTCCCGAGTCCCAGGGAGGCTCAAGAGACACATACCTGACGAAAGGCAGACCCGTGGTGAGCTCTTCATAGTTCTGCTTTTAGTTTGACCCTATGGATTCGGAGTCTTGAGTTTTAAAATGACAAACCATAATGTTTCCTTACAGTGCAATACAGATTTCATTCCATTACGCAGCGTTAGATGGTACTGGAATAAAATGACTTATTTCCACAACTTTGAATGAACTCCACTTGGTGAGTCCACTACAGATGAAGCAAAAGGTTACACCATTCTGAAAAAAACACTCAGCTAAGCCCTAATAGTTTATATATAAAAACAAACACTTCATTTGATACATTAATCTGTATTACTTACAAGCATTTTTTTTAACAAGAGAAATAAAATTCAAATATTCTTTTTTATTTCAGAGAAATATATTCTAATTTTAAAAACCCAACTCTGGCAGGACATTTAATTGAGGTTTGGATCAGTATATACTGTAAAATACTTTGCTTATACTGCACATTTGTCAGGCTAGTACTTCATAGCGTATTCCCCATGCATTCCGTATCCATCAAATTAATCTGCTTGAAAAATGATTTTATATGTAGAAATCTAATTTTATACTAAGAGAAGACAGCTAATATAAAATGTTTCTTATAATTGATTCGGTAAGACAGGAATTCGAACAAAAGACTTATTCATTTATAAATTTAATGAGACTTTACAGATCGGATGTTTGAATAAGCTGATAGTCAGTGGCCTCAGTGCTATAAAAGATAGCGAAGCCGTAGCATTGGGCTTAATTAATTTAACTTAATTAATTAAATTGTAAATGGCACCAGAGACTTCATAACAGACATAAGGTAACATTGTAAATAAACTGTTCTGTTTGCTGTACTCTGGTGAAATTCACCAGTTATAGAAAAGGTTTAGCTGTTAGTTTTTTAAGTAAAATGCCTAAGGCTGCCAATATGTAACTTGTATTATTTCTACACTTTTTGCTCAGTCTCCCAGTGTCTCAAAAAGCTTTAGGTATCTTTCTCAAGATGCTGTGCTAGAGCTGAAGAAGAGGAATTCCTTTAAAAAGCATCGTCCCTCTAGTGTTTCTGGTGCTTTAAATACTGTACGTGCTTTTCTAACATTCCAAAACTTTAGATATTAACACTAACCCATCTTTATTCCTTTAGACTGTTAATATCCTGTGCCCTTGGACTGTGGCATTGAATTTTGAAGCTCAGCTTTTCTTTCTTTAGAAACAGTAAGATGTCTGCGGTTGGAGAGGGCACGCTGAACTTGTGCGTTGAGATGTGTGGAGTGTTGAGGATGCTGCACACGTCATCTCATTCTCTCTCTGTCTCTCGCCAGACACAGTGTAACAGACTTGCACGATCTACTTCCCAAGTCATTTAATCATAGCAGCTGTCTGCTTCTTATTTTAAAAAAAAGAAAAATTTAATTTGAGAAGTAGACCATGCAGATTTCACGAAGTGTGATCTGTATAGCGAGACACAGATTTCTCAGCAGGTAGAGCAGATTTTGTCAGGGGTTAATCAATAACAGTTAACTCACCCTCTGGTTATACTGTCTACTGTACAGTGCCTGTATAACTCAGTTCCACTAAACATTCACTTTGTTTGACTCAGACGAAGTCCCTGCGATCAAGTGCATTTCATTCAGAAATCAGGAGGACCTGCAGCTATGTTTCAGTGCTTCAGTTTAAACATGTTCTACTAGCTGTCTTCTCCAACAGTGCAGATGCACAGCTTACCTGGGAGTTTTCCTGAGAGAGAACCGCAAGGCAGCTGTTGTCTCCAGGCAAGCACTAGCTGACACCCTGTCACAGTGTTGTTACCAATAAGAGGAATGTTACAACAACCGAAGTGATGTTCCGGTGATGTCAGTAAGTGATCAGCTCAAACCATGGGAAACACCATGAAGACCCCAAAAGCTCAACTAGCTTAGACAAAGGGTCATGTGAAAATCTAGGAATCCCTTCAGATTGTCTGGGCAACGAAGGTCTGATTCAAACAGGGTGCCTGAAAGATGGCAGAGGTATGCACTGTTGTGAGACATGCGGTCTTCAAGGGAGCAGATGAAATCTAACAATAGACTAATGACCCTTCACAAGGAAGAGTGTTCTGGAAAGGTCAGCATTTCAAGGAATGAGGGAGCAAAACAGAGTCAAGAAACACGGAAAGATACCTGATAGCTACAGCGGCAGAAGACAGCTAATCAGGGAAAGGAAGAAGAGCTCTGAGATAAGACAAAGAGATTGCTCAAAAATGACTTCCTAATCGCCTCTGGAAATGATGAGGACGTTAATTCCACATCAGATCTCACCCTATCACAGGAAATGGCATCTTTGTGAAGCTGGTACAGAACTGCGGGAAAACTTCCCAGCTGGAAGACTTTCACAGAAGGAAACATCATAAGTGCCCACATTGGGCTCTAAACTGTACAGATATCACTGAAGAAGAGTATTAAACATGGGTGAAAAATGTCAGCTCTTGACCAAAACAATGTCCAAGAAGACCATCTGAGAAATTATCTGAAATCAGCAGGGAACCCTCAGCAAGGAGGTGCTAACCTGTGTATGTGTGTGTGTATGGCTTCTTTAAAACAGGAAACAGCTGCTGGCCCTGATGCACTGGTCTCCACATGTGTCTGACGTTAGTCCTCTGAAATGTTATAGGATGAGCTCTCTGGAGATAAAAAAAAGTTTGCATCCAGCACTCATGCAGTGCTCCGGGAGGCACTTAGGATGAGATGGACAAAAAAGGAGGGATGTGCTTACAAATCATGGTAAGAATGGTCCAGACGTGTGTGGTTCTGACCAGCTGCTGTGCAGGAAGCCGGAGATCCCTGGAGTGGCTGATAGTCACTAGATCTGAGCCATCAAGGCATGAGCTAGGCATCGGGCCACTCTACTGCCAGAGCTGTGGGCAGACAGCAGCCATCAACATTTAACGATGGAAACTATTCCAGATAACTCTCCAGATGATTCATAAGGTCTTGCATGCCCGTTTTGATTGAACACGAGTAGTGATCAAAATGTTTATTCATGGAGTCAATTGAATTGTGATGGATAAAATGGATTGCACACCATGGGGACATAAGTGCCTTAGTGTTGGGAATATAAGGCTGTTGTGAATGGAGGCGTAGTTATGAAGCAGAATGTATCTTAAATGCATTTCAGAGCCAGCGTTTGTGCATAAAATATATGACAAAAACAGTAAAGATGATCAGTCTTTATTATTTCCTACAAAAAGGGATATGATCTTATGGATTGTATTGTATATGGAGAACAAGTTGTTGTTTAGCCCTTCAGAAAGACTGCAATACAGGGGCCCACGCCTGCTGCAAGTCCTCCGAGAGGGGGCGCTACCGTGTGGCGCGTTCAGCCTGCTGAAATAAATGACACGCGGGTTTTGTGGTTGAACTCTTTGACAGACGGCAGCGGCGTCGCTGGGCGGCAGGTCTCTGCGGAGGGCAGTGTGTGACACCGCACACGGGGGTGAGTAACCGCGATGGCCTCCTCTGCACCTCAGACAGGAGTCCTGCCTGGGAGCAGCCCACCGCGCTGGAAGCCACTGGTTTCCCTGGCTGACTCAGGCACACATTTCTTCCGCGGTATGTGAGGAACAAAATGCAAATTGCTCGAATGGTGACCAGTTGCAAAAACGTTTTGGAGAGTTGCTGTTTTTAAAAATGTCAATTTTATGAATGTTAATTCTGTGGTTGTTCGTGATTAAGTTCGTTTCCTAGAAGTGAATACTGTATATTGTGGGTTATATTTTCAAATTTGTATTAAAATGTAGTTCATGAATATTTGTTCAAGCTTCATCATCAGATGCCAGTTATGGTTTTTAATCAAAGAGATTTCACATCCATTTTTTTCTTCCCATTTGAAGGTGTAAGTCACCGATACAAATTCTGTGCTTTCCTGTCTAAAAAACTAATTTGAAGTTTTTAAAAGCGGCCTAACCCTGCTTCTCTTAAGAGGAACCTTAATCGATGAAGGAAATTACTCTTAAAATCATAAGTGTGAATTCTATAATAATTATATATTTGAAATGGGGGGCTTTCTTCTGTATCTTTAGCTCATCCAGATGAGAATTACTATAGTATGTCCTTCACCTGTAAAGAAAGGTATCTGGGCAGTTTCCTTTTGGCTTGTCTAAGACAGCACAGGTTGTTCACACAATTTCTTTAATTGAAGACATCACCAGATGTAGGCTGAGCAGCCTACGCCTCTGTTACACTTTAACTGTATTTAAAAATATAGTATAAAGGGGTTTATTTGAAAGTACACTGTATATATATATATGACAACAGAAAATAATTAATTTATCTGTAAATAATAAAGTATTTAGTCCATTATTGTTGAATTAAATCTGAATCACTGCAGTGAACAGCACTCTAAAGACCCTGGAAACAATGCAGAATCTAATTTGTGTTTCTCTAATTTCATAAACGGCAGGGTCTGGAAAATCTTTCTTTGGCGTTAAGAAAGAGAATCATTTCAGTTTAGCGCTGCTGCTAGACAATTATTTCAGCCCTTTAATAACATTCTTCGTCTGCACGTGCGCTGCGCAGGCATCGCGCTGCTGTGTGTGATATGATGGGATTGAGGCTGTGACCTGCGACTGCGTTTCTCACCAGAGGGGAGTGTGTTTCCCCTTCCCTGGAGTTTGTTCTGCAGGTAGTCAAAGCTGTGTCTCTCCCCTCCCTGCCTTGGCTCCTGCCTTTCTTGTGGTTTGGCGTCTGGCTCGTATCCATGCTCCTAATCTGCGGGGCCACTGGAGAGCAGCTCGCTGGTGAATTTGTACCCCACACCTTCTCCTTCCACGAGAAGAGGAGGCCGAGAGACCCCGAGGGGTCTGACTAGAGCCGCCGATACCTTCACCAGGAGCGAGCAAGAGGTCCAGCAGACCTGCTCCCTTCCAAGCTAATCTCAGTGAAACTGTGATGGCGAAGGAGGTTATTCCTGATATCGATTCCATGATCGATATCAGGACACATACTGTACTTGACCAGCCTCCCCTACACCAAGAGGACGGCTGACTGTCCATCTAATTCACCCTGGCCGAGCAGGCAGCTCACAGACAGGAGATACAGACCCTGCTACTCATCACCTTCAAACCAGCAGCCAGTCTGGGAGCAGGCCCTGTGACTCCCAGGGGGATCTGTTACTGTCGCTTTAAAAGCACACGTTAAATCTCACCAACAACCTCTCAAAGCCTAAACTATTTATACTTGCAAAATAAAGGACGTGTTAAATCACACCAACAGCTTTTAAAAAAAAACAGAGACACTTGCAGAATAAAATAAAAGCAAAAGGGCTGTATGTAGACCTGCTTCATTCCACATTAATTGCAGGTAATGCAATTTCAACAGTGCTGAAGCCATTGCCAAGCACAATGAGGCAATGAGCAAAGCTTCCTATAAGATGTAGGTTCTCTGAATAAGCTTAAGAATCCCATAAATACCACATATACAAGATGTGTGATGCTCATGATTTATAGCTACATTAAGGACAGACATCCGTTATGTTGGACAGGTGATAATACAGGCCATTGTCTATGACAGGCCTGCAACATGCCATTGGAATCCAGACTGACCTGCTCCTTAGCTGTGTCTGTGCGAATTTCCCAGGGGGAGAAGGTCAGGAGTTTGGGTTCACACAGTGGGAGAGCCTCTTCACCCACATGGCTGAGGAGGAGTGTCAGGGGAGCCGAATCCAGACTCCCGGGGAGCGTGCAGTTTAAGACCCCATGCGGGACGGTAGAATCCGGAAGTGACCGGAGAAGGACATCAGGGAAGACGGGGCGAGGAATGGGCAGGATGACGGACAGGGGGGCGGTGAAGACTGTGATCCGGGGAGTGGGGGGGGAGTGCAGGCGAACGAGTCCAAACACGGGAAGCCCGATAAGGGAAAGCAGGGCGCAGCCCAGGGTCCAGGTACCGGAACATCCCTCCAAGACAAAAACAGGTGAAAACAGGAGCTAGGGAATGGGGACGTGGAACCAGCAACAGGAACACCGAAGTTAAAACCAGAGTAACGAGGCCAGGCACTCCGAGCCCCGGACTCAGATGGTCAGGACGCCGTGAGGAAGCCGGTGCCGCTGGGTCTCTCCTGGACCCGCTGGTAGGCGGGCTTCTGGGCGTCCATCTCCCAGTGCTGAGCCCTGAACACCAGAGATGCCGGGCTTAAATAATAAGATGGGGACAGGGGACAGGTGCGCATATGACACATAACACAAGGTGGGAGCGCCCTCAAGAGGAGGGATGGCGATGGTGACAAGGAGCATGTGTGTGCATTGGGGAGGATAGATGTACCCAGATATATAAACTGCTGGGTACATTTTCAGGAACTGGGTAAGTTGGGGTTTCCACACTGATGGATTTCTTATTATTACCTCATTTAGCACCATTTTTGCGTTCCTGTATGACCTATGACCTTCCCCGGGTCAAGGAAATAAGGGAATATCGTTAATTCAATGTTTCCACACACGCCAGGTACTCCGAGGAGAGTACGACAACAATATAACTTCACTCCCAGGCAGAAAGGCGATCCAAGTGTTTAGCCCATACTCAGACCCCTGGAGACAATCTCCAGATAGGGCCTCATTATCCCCCTGAGTCAGATATATTCTGAATATGGTGAAACAATGAATCAAGATTAGTAATCAAACACAAGGAACATTTTCTCTGTATCTGGTACTGCGTTGCTAACCTAATGTTTCCTGTTTCGTTACCAGGCAACAGTAAAAGGCATTCAAACTCTCACGTGGGAAGAGCTGAGCAGGCAAGTGCTGACTAGAAATGTGTTTTTTTTAAGTTATGCCATCATTCATGGTGTATAGTGCGGCCCACATCGCCCTATTCCCCATGCATTTTCTTAATTACGTGGAAATGCAAGCATTTCAGCAGAACGCGATTTTGCAACGCATGTCCAAGCTCCCTGGAATGACAGCAGCTTCGATCCATTTGCCGAGAGCCCTCTGCGCACATGTTCTTTATTGTCAAAAACTCTACAGAAGGAGCCTTTTTCCTTCATTAATCGGCACTGGTGGTTTAGCGCAAGACCATGTTCTCCGAGCCCCCGTGTTCAGATGGAAAAATAAAGTTTATTTCATTTCCCCTCTCAGGGCCCACGTTGGCTCAGATTTAATCAAATATTCAAGCCATCCGCAGGTCACCCGTTACAGACCCGGTTACTGTGGGTGGGTTGTGCTGGGTGGGAGAAGGAAGCTAGACACGGGAGCTCTTGTTCCATAAGTTATTTAGTAGATGATGAATGCAGCAGAGACTAATTCAGCTTCCCGGCAAGAAGTAATTGCTGGAGGGAACTTTAAAACCTTTCCTTGAGATTCATCGGGCAGTGCTGTTGTATGAAATAACAATATTGTGGGGGTTTAAATGAGTTCCCGGCCTCAACCAGCATTTTGCTTCAGTTCTGACAAGCAACAGGCCATGGCCAAGTAAAAAGTGGACGAATAATAAGTAACAGAACAGAGCTTCAGTTTGAAAAGTGCCACGACTGGGGTTACTGTTGCACCTCTAAACTGGCAAGTACCTCCTTCTCTGGAGCAAGAAGAATTTAAAAGCTACCCTCTGTGTTGTGCAGTTTAACAGCTCTTAGATTGCTATCCTATTCTTAAAGATTGTCAGGTTGTTTGACATCAATGTTTGAATCAGAAGTATGACTTTGTCACAACTACTCATCACACTGTGGCTCCAGTAAACGACATTACAAGTCTCGAAGCAATGTGCTGCGTGGCAGCAAGCTTTTTCATAATGAAAGGTGAAGGGATTGCGATGAGGTTGAAGAGTAGAGCAGAGGTATCAGAAAGCATGTTGGCACAAAGCTATTGAGTATTGACTCTTTGAAATCAGCATTAGTTTCCTCACACGATTATGCCATCACCACTGACACAAGGTCGTCCCCTCGCATGGACTTTAACAAGGCTTTCTTCCTATTATTCCTCTCTTTGGGCCAAGCTGTTGTCCAACATGACTCCAATCTGTACACCCAGGAGGCCCTTGTGGCTCCTCCTTCATGCTCCTCCCATCGCAGAGGTGGTGTTCTTCAGAAGATGCCAGCCTCAGCCCGTGCCCGCTGTCGCCCTGCCCCTGATTTGCTGCCCCCCCACGCCCCTGTGTGGAAGAGGCCCCCCGGGGCCCGGTCCCGTTGTCGGGTCACTACAGGGGCCGGACAGGGTGGGTGAAGAGATGGGCCCCAAGCGCCCCAATGAGCGGTCATGGTGAGAGACGCTGAGCGGCGCCAGCGGAGTGAGAGACGTGTCACGTCTTCCTTCGCGCACGGATGCTCCGAAGCCCCTGTGAGTCGCGCAGTGTGCGTTTCGTGCTCACGAGGTAGCAAGAGCGCGGAACAATGTTCTTACATCCCGCTGGCGGTTCATCAATTAGCATTCCTTAAGAAAGGAGAGAGCGTTTCTGTCGAGTCTCACACCAAGGAAAAGTGCGCGAGTCTTTCCAAAGATGATCTCATGATCAGGACAGAAAGCCATTAACATCCTTGTGATTTAAAACATACAGTACAATCAGAGATGTTAATACAGATGTTGGAGCATTTGTGGGTTACTTGCACCTTATTCATGTGGACTCCAGGCATGGTGTACAATCTGATATGACTTTTCAGTGTGTCGTGGTTTTGAATTCATCACACCCTAAATTTTTTTAGTGGAGGGTATTTTTATTCCAGCAATTCTAGACTCTTTAAAGAATACTTTGGCCGTTTCCACATCAGATACCAAAATACCAGCTTGATCCATCCAGCTGATTTCATCAGCTACATCTTTCTCATGATCTTTAATTATGTTTGTTAAAGAGAACATAACTAATGGACTTTGCTGTTGAAATAAATATATTAAACAGTTTGTAAATATTTGGAAATTTCCCATCACTGTTTTCGTGGAAATTGAAATCAGATTAAATAATAATAAGCAGTAGACAGAATACAAAAAGCATATTTGTGAAGTGTACAAAAAGCCACCATGATAGTATAGTTATCAGCCACCATATCACCCTGTAATTCACAACTGGCTGCCCACTGAAGCCCAGCAGGTGTGAGCCTGGTCAGGACCTGGAGGGGAGACTCCTGGGAAAGCTAAGGCTGCTGCTAGAAGAGGTGATAGAGGGGTATGAGCTGACTCTCTGTGGGGCGTTTCTCGAAAAGAGTAGGGGTGTAACCCCGGTGTCCTGGCCAAATTACCCCCTGGCCTTTACCACTGATGGCCTCCTAATAACCCCCATCTCTGAACTGGCTTCATCACTCTGCTCTCCTCCCCACTGAGAGCTGGTGTGTGGTGAGAGTACTGGAGCATCATCCAGGTGGGGCTGCACACTGCACATTATTATGATAGCTGGTATAGGGGCTGAGGGTCTCTGCAGTTTGAGAGTGAACACTTACATTATGCTATTCTACCATGATATTGAGAAGGTGAGGGGAAAGGAGGGTGTTGTATTGAACTATCGTTCAGCACAAACTGGGGCATCGCCATAGAAATAGCGTGCTATACAACAGGGACGCTTCATTGCCTTGGCTAATTACAGAGACCTGCAGGACCTTTCCTGCTAAAGCACTGCTCTTAATAGCGGTGAGCTGTTACACTTTCGTGCTACGCAGGACGTGTGCTGCAAGGGCAGCGCGCTTAGGGGGACATCGGACCCTGCCTGTCAGCGCCGAGCGGCTGTCTGGAGTCAGGAGGTGTGAATGGAGGACACAGCGGAGACCGCGGGGGGTCAGGACGGGGGTGAGAGATAAACACAGGCTCCACATGCAGAGAGACAGCCGCCAGGGCAACTCGTTATCAAAGGAGATGCTCGTCATGGCAATAAACATCAAACTCAGGACCAGGATCCAGATTAGCGCAGAGGATTGTTCCTGCCGTGTAGAATTAGACCCTTTGCTAAAACCTTTAAAATGGCTTTTCTTTACGGTGTTACTGATATAGCAGACATCAGCATTCAGAGTTGAACAGCAGTGGTTGAAAGCATATATAAATAAAGTAAATTTCTATGCATTTCAGTGTGATGAATATTTAAGCAATTGAATGGAAAGACACAGATTTGAGTTTGTAAGAACACCAAAGTGATGCCAAGGGAGTGGTCACACACTTATTCTTTATGAATGTCAAAAACACAGAACCATTTCTCACAGCAGGCATCACTCTTGATGGACATCTAGTGAAGAAAATGATCGAAAATATTACTACTGAGTTGACGTTGGGATCTTTCAAAATATCCCTATTTCTTCTTAGGTATCATCACGAAATGCACACACGTCATCAGTTTTGTTTCTGAGAATGGGGATTTTGGAGCATGGAGACATCTTGGTGGGTGTGCTTTTTCTCGTAGACCAATGTTATTTTAGCCTTGTGCTTTTGTATACTACAGTACAAAACTTCCATCTTCTGGTATCATGACAGTGAGTTCATTGAAATGTATAAGGAATTAAATTAGATGAATACCAAGGAAACAAATTAGATATTTTCTATTTTTCAGGTTATAAATTAACTTTTGCAAACTAGGCATAATCAACATATCAAATATGTGTTAGTACACCAGTGTGTGGATGTATTCCACTTTCACTGTAAATAAAACTCCAATCTCATATCCAACATCTCTTGAATGTCGAATTGAGGATCAAAAGAGAATAGTGTTTAGGACATTTGTCTCCATATACTGTAGCCTCCTGTGCAACCTGAACAGAAATAGAATATTTAACCCAACCAACAATGTACAGTACATACTGTACTACATACAGTACATCATCTAATGTCACGGAAGTATTTCAGAATGTTTTCAGCACTAAATCCTGCACATGGTCCCACTTGAGAGATTGTGGCTGCCTGCTTGCGTTCGTGTTGAGCAACAGTGTGTGTGCTGTTCCAGGGCTGGTGGCACCCAGCGCCTGCTTCTGGTAAGGCTCTGTCTCTCCTCTGTTCGCTCAGGTATCTCCCGAATGGCTGGGCAGCGAAAGCAGTTTAAGTCTGAACCTGGTGAGTGACGTCAGTTCTGGTGCACTGGCGTGCGTGTCGTGCACAGTAACAGGCCAGCATGCAGGGGCTTCGCTGGCACATTAGACACACAGAGCTTTTCAAGGGTTGGGAACTACAGCATGGAGGAGTGCAGTAGGTGCTAGTTGCATTGTTTTCACTTACTGCAGCCTTTCTCACCTCATAGTATTGTAGCTGATGGTTGCGGTAGAGAATGTTCAGCTTTTATTGTTGTTTTAAATAGCCCCTGAATGAGTTTTGTCCTACAGCAAATCTCGAGAAGGCTAAATGGAAACAGAAAAATGAGTTCTGCTTTGAATAAAGGTTTTTGATTGTTTGCAATGCAAGTGGAGGAATTTGTCTGTGGATGCTGCCAATTAATACTTCTGCACAAGATTCATGCTTGACTTTAGTTTTGCGGTTCTTTCCCTGCCTCTGTAGATGAGCGAGGGCACGGAGTGCATCTTCATCCCTGTGAAGCTGTTTTTGAAGGGGGCCCCTGCCAGGTCTCTGCACTCAGCCCTGCGGCTGGTAAACAGCTACCCTACAGAGAGCATGATTAGGGAAGGATATGCTGTTCAACAGGCTTGGAGCATCTACAAAGCCAAACTTGTCAGGCACAGGCTACACCACGCTGCAAGGAGCCAATCTGTGTCCGGCAAATGATCAACACTGTTACTGAAATAATCAGATTTCTCATTTTGATTCCCGAGGTTGCCAAGCTTTTAAAGTGTATGAGTTTCACGTGTGTTTTTTAAAGAAAATCACTTCTTGACATAATATTAAAAAAGATCATATGGCCAAAACATAGTATTAACTTTTCGCTTCTTTCTCCTTTGTCTTTATTTTTGTTCCTTTTTTATATGCTGAATATAGTCATTTCTGGGTTACAGCTCCTTTTTTGCTGCTAAGAAATGTGCACCTCTTTTTTGTAACTCTAAATGAACCGCGGAGAAGTAAAACTGTAGAATTAGGGATACAGCTTTGCTACGCATTACTCAAATTAGAATGAAGTATATTTCTCTGATATTGACTCCAGTAATATGGCAGTGCTTTGGAATTATGCATGCTGCTTCAATAGAGAGCCACCCTTCTGGTTTGTTTTGTTATGACAATAAACAACCACAGAACTGCTTGCACGTTTTCTCCTTTCTTTCTCGAGGGCATACAGTCGATTGTGTCGCCTCTGGAGTCATACACCACAGCCCGCAGCAAGCGGAAGAGATGAATATACAGTAGGAAGAGTACTGCCAAACGGGCCAGAGGAACCAAATGGTCTCCTCTTGTCTGGAACCTTCCTTGTGCTCTTATCTGTGGAAAACAGAGTCCGAGAGTCTCCAGTGAGCTACACCGGGATTCCAGGAAGCCTCCACGCCTACAGTAACTTAACACAAGCAATGTTCCTGGGCTGGAGGGCACCCATTTCACGAATTAACATATGAAGAAAGATCGCATTTTTCAAAGCTTTTGTTTTCTTCTAACACATAATTTGGTCCACTTCATTAAACACGTTTAAGCACATTCTCCCACATGATATATTTTAAAATGACATGGACATTATGCAGTATATATTAAGTAAATTATCTTGTTGGATCTTAAGCCTTAAATGTTTACTGCAAGGAAATGGAAATGTCGGCATCAAACTTCATCCACCAGGGCGGAGGGAGATGAAGTGTGATGCCGACATTTCCATTTCCATTGTCTCCATATACTGTAGCCAGGGCCAGCAGGGAACAGTGAGAACAGTGAGAGGACAGGTCTGGGGAATCCCTTGCACACGATGCCGTCACTCCGGCAGACCTGCTCTACGGATACAAGCCTGCAGCACAAGCAGCAGCTGCGCTGATTGACAGCTCAACTCCTCCCGATTTTTTACTACCCCATTACCCTTTATGTACAGTATATGTACTGCACATTGACCTGTGAATCCAGAAGGACATTTTTATTTTAAAGCATGTTATATTATAGAACTTATATGTAAAGTTTCTAACTTCAGTTAGCATGTACTGTACATGTTCTGTAGGGTTGTATGAGAAGCTGAGGTCTGAGCACTGCCAGCACAATGACAACAATCTGCATGCATGCATACAGTACATGAATCTGATGCCGAGAAGGGCACATTTTTAATCATGCAAGAAGGAAGAGTCAGAGGAACGTTGCTTTTAATTCTTATTGGTAGTTTGCCTTTGTAGAAATAATCGTGTTAGTCTGAACAGATTTCTTTTAAACTCATTTCTTTGTCTTCTGTTCCTATACAGTAGATGCACATAATATCACTTCAAAAAAATGCATACATACTTCTACAGTAAATCCTTTCCTGGTTCCATTTGACCAATGATTATTTCAATCATTGATATAGTTTAAATCAATTTTCATAACTGTTTCAACAGATCAATTTTCCAATGTTATTATTATTATTATTGACTTCTACATCCCGGGAGACTGTAAATTATATTGCACAATAAATATTCAATGAAATGATCTGATGTTGAATGGGAAGTCAGGATGTGTGGGGGATCTGATAAGTGCTGTCAACACTTTGCTACATCCTAAGAGTTTCACTAACATGCGACTGGGTTGCTTTGAAAAAAATGAAACAGCAGCTGTACAGGACAGCAGATAATGACGTGAAAGGTGATGTTCCATGAAACAGGTGTTTAGGTCTGTTGGACGTCTCTTAGTGTTGTATTCAAGGCCACAAGCCATCATCTGCCCGAGGTCTGCCTTCTAGAAGGATATAAAAGCTCCATTACCTCAGCAACAGGCAAGACTAAAGCTACACTCAGTGACCAGAGGTCAGGGATGTTTGGGCAAGAGTGACATCCACAAGGCATGACACAGGTTTAAGCCTAGAGTAGATGCTCTGAGGACCACGATGCTTTCCGTGTGATTACGTCTTCCCCTGCATTCATGCTGGTTTTCTCCAGGTTCCCAGGTATCTTAGCTTATTCTAAGGACATGCATGCTTGGTTATTCAGTGTCTCAGATTTTTACCTGTCTTTTTGCCCGTGTGTGTGTCTTGTGATGGACTGGTGTCCTGTCCAGGGTGTGGTCCTGTCCTCTGTCCTGTGATGGACTGGTGTCCTGTCCAGGGTGTGGTCCTGTCTTGTATCCTGTGATGGACTGGTGTCCTGTCCAGGGTGTGGTGCTATCTTGTGTCCTGTGGTGTCCTGTCCAGGATGTGTCCTGTCCTGTGTCCTGTGATGGACTGGTGTCCTGTCCGGGGTGTGATGCTGTCTTGTGTCCTGTGATGGACTGGTGTCCTGTCCGGGGTGTGTCCTGTCCTGTGTCCTGTGATGGACCGGTGTCCTGTCCGGGGTGTGTCCTGTCTTGTGTCCTGTGATGCAGGGTCCCATGCTTGAGGGACTGATCAGACTTGTTCCAGCCCTTGTGCGGAATCAGAGTCTTTCTGATGATGGATGGAGAAGTAAAACAATACCCTGGAGGAAGAGGCAAATCGAAGAGATTCTTCAACAGAACCTATGGCATTAGGCACATACACAATTATACAAATTGTTTTTAAATTAATAAATTTGCAGTTCTGCACAACCTCTTCACCAAATCATGAAAAAGCAAATTCAGCAATCTTAGAGAAACCACAAAATCAATATCTTGGACTATCAAAACCACAAAGTGGTAAATCCATAACCTTACGGTGCAGAGATAGTGAGACATTTTCTTTTGAACTCTTCCGTTTTCCTTAAAGTGGAAAGATTCAGCTGCCTAAAATTAATTTTAGAATACTTGTGATTATTTTTGGCAAGTAAAAAAATCCTGTGGCATTCTGTGATAGTCCTACGCCTTAAGTGTTACTTTCAAGAGCATGTCTCAGCTTTTAGTTCTCTGACACTTTAAGGGCGGCTCACGGCTATCCCCTGAAATAAGGAGATGTTGACAAAAAGGGAAGCTTCTCTGTCGCCTTGTGGAAAGACTGTGCTTGATAACCCCCTGTCAAGTCAAAAAGGAACAGAGTGTAATTAACTGTTTGTAATATCGGTTTTTACTTCCTTGGAGATTAACAGTTTCTTTTACTCAAGATCTGCAAAAAACAAAATTCTGTGAAATAATTGCAGTAGCAGAAATACTTATAAATAAGTGAGCTTCTTGTACAGCTGCTTTGTAATTATTGATTTCACTGATTAGCACACAGTGATTTGAAAAAGTAATAATGTCAGTGACTGACACCTTGCCATATTGATAAGGTTAATTAAACACCCCTCTGCCATTATCGGACATATCTGTCAGCTTTTTTTCCCTATTTTCTTTTTCTTTGTCTGAAAAACCAACATCTAATAAAAAGATTAAAATGATTCTGGGGGTATTTGATATGTGGAGAAGAGCTCCATTTTCTCTAGGGAACAAAATGAATGCCCTGCATTGGTATTCCACTGGACAAATGAATTACATTGAATATGTGTTTTGCTCCAATCTCCACTCAAAGCAAGTTGAGATGTTTGGTTACTATGGTTACTATTGCCCTGGAGACGTTACGAGGCCAGTTAACCACTTTAGTATGTAAAAACCTGGCCTGCTTCTACAGTCTAAATTATTGGACAAGGTGGGCATCCAGGCTAAGACCCAGAGGACACTAAGTGCGCTCCTGGGGTCCGTGATCAGCACAGGACAAGACAGCCCAAGGAGTGAGGGCTTCTTTATGGAAAACGGAGCTCCGTGTCTTGTGCCCTCACTGCCCCGAAACTGGCCCCCTGTATAAAGACGGGGTGCCTGTCGGAGCACATCTCCTCCTGCGCCTTCGCCTCCCCTCTCCAGCTGTGCCTCTGCTGCCCTCGCTGCTGTCAGCGTTCCCAGATCCCTCCGACATCCGCCCTGGGAGACAAAGAGAGCGGGCGGCTTTCGCAGGGAGTCGGAATTGTCCACTAGAGATCAGAGGCTTTTGCTCGAATTGTTCTGCTCTGCTCCTTGGCTTCAGGACAGTAGATCAGTCTTGGTACCATGGATACCGGAGGGTGAGGGCGGGGAACCGGCTCGCAAGAGTGGTCTGTGAAGACTCCCCACACCTGGGGTCCGAACCTACTACCCTCCGGCCAGCGATTCAGAGTCCTGAGCCAACCACACAGACGCAGATATTACAGATAATTATTTCAGCCTCCGGCCGGACAGAAACATTGAGACACTTGATGCAGACCGAAGGAAGCTCGCGCAACAGAAAACGGAAGGTTGTGGTGTAGTGATTTGTTAGGCTTTGCTAACAATGCATCTGTTGTGGTATTTTCGCAGGGGGAAATGATCACTTTGCTAGCTTTAAAAAAAAAAAAGACTCAAAACCCAAAATAGGTGTGATGGCTAAATTTGACCTACAAGCTGGTAAGGTCATACAAGCAGCAATGAAAAATAATTACGGGGCCAAATATGCGGCCGAAGGATGAGCAGATCCATATCGGAAAAGCAACGAATAAACATGAATTGCAATAATGATGCAGCCTGATTTCTCTCTATGTGTCTAAAACACATAGTCAGTAGAGCGCAGGGCTGGAGGGCTCCTCAGTAATTGCTCTAGTTTATTAGGCTGTTCTGGGGTCTAGAATTAGAAATGTGAGGAATTTTTGCTTCAGTTCAGAAAAGAGGTCGTTGTGGCCCCATTATCTGAAAAGGAAAAACAGCCAATACTAAATGTTTTAATTTGACTGTCAAATGACAAAGCCAAACTGTAGTTGTGCAACATACGCTTCAAAATTGATGGGAGATCATTTCACAGCCCTGGAATAAAGGTTCTGCATTTTAGTTCCATTGCAGAGTGACTAATCCTTATTCAGACTAGTACAGATTTGCTCTAAAGTGATACAAGAATGTTGTTTATTTGTATTTTGTCACTTTCAGAACTCCAGTATTCCTGACTGGGGTTTGTGCTGGGATCCCAGGTCTGGGATAGAGTATTCCTGACTGGGGTTTGGGCTGGGATCCCAGGTCTGGCTGCAGTATTCCTGATTGGGGGTTTGGGCTGCGATCCCAGGTAGGAGAGTGCTGCTCAGCCCCTGGACAAGTTATTGCCTCTGAACTGCCTGTTCTCAATTGACTTATCTTGTTAAATAAAGGATTATAAATAAGAACGAAGAATC